CTGTCTGTAACTTGAATTTCAGGGCATCCAGCTCCCTCTTCTGGCCTCTGAGGGCACCAGGCAAGCAAGGGGATCACAGACATACAAGACAGGCATAGATTTAAATTTAATTTTTTTAAAAAAAGAACACTGATTCCATTCATGAGGATTCTGCCCCCTTCTCCTCCCGAAGACTCCACCTCTTAACAGACCGCATCACTTGGGGGCTAGGATTTAAAAGAGGGCTTTAAGAATAACCTAGTCAAGGGTACAGTTTCAGATGGGCATATTTAAAATTATGAATGAGGCCAAGAGCAAAATGTCATTAGCTGCCCTGAGACATAAGACCCAATACACCCTCATACCGTAACAGTGCACGTGGAAAACAAGCCAGCTCTTGATGCAAACCAAAAACTGATGGACTGGTACTATCATGGTGCCTCTTCCCCAGGCCCAAAGCCTGAGTGAGAGTCTCCCTTGAGCAGTCTCAGCCTATCCAGATTCTACCGCACAATTTAGAAGTTGCTTGAGCTCACTCAACCTTGGTTTATGTTTCAAGAATTCATCTGTTGGTTTTACTTTGGCTTCCAAAGACACATATTCCCATAGATACTGTATTATACATTATGGCTAAATCCTCAAAACTGCCCACAAAAGGCTCTTTAAGTTATTATGTTTGAAATATGTACTAAAATAGTACCGTATCAACTACGCTAACCCATCACTTATAAGTCCATGTAGAGAGAGAGGCATTCCATTTTGCAACTGGAGATGTCAGGGTTGCCTCGGAGAGGAGGGAGTTGAGGGTAAGAGGCAGGGATGCCTGGGAATTCTTCACAATCCGGGTGTCAGAAGCACCCAAGGTAGACATCTGTTGTCCATCATCCATTCACTCCATCTGGAAACAATATTTTGATTTCACATTGGGGAACTAACCACCTCCTCCTCGCTCAGTGTGTGTGGCTGGATGGACCGAGCCTGACCTCAGACCCACACTCCAGGGTGGCTGCACAAGAGAGGCAGGGCTGGCCCCAGAGCCTGACTCAGAGATGTCCCTGCCCGGCCTTTCCAGTTAGAGCTCAGCCCACATGTAGGCAGGTAGCATGCCCTAAATAGAATTTTATCCCCAAGACAACCCAGCACAGTGCTGGGAACTTAAGACATCGTTGCCACCAAAGAAAGAAGGAAATGATACACATTGAGCAATACCATTGGCTTTTTATACCACTTTAAGGTTTGTTTTTTTTTACATATTGTTGAGTGCTGACTACCTTTCTCACAAATGTATGCTGCAGATTGTTATTTTTATAGAGACATAATGCTCTGAAAATAAAATCCTAGCATTATTGATTTAAAAATATTTTACCTTGAGTTATATAATAGGGCTATTTTTAATTTATTAACTATCATCTTCTAGTGATACTGATGTAATTGGCAGTATGTGGTATGTGTCTTAGGCTTGGGGTTAAGCTTAGGGTAATAATACAAAATCATAAGAATATATATATATATATATATATATATATATATATACACACACACGCACACACACACACACAGAGAGAGAAAGTAGTAAAGCAATAAGAAATAACAGTGATGGTGCTCCCACTGACATGTAGGTCAAAGACCCTCCTCTCAGAGTTTTGTAAGATAAAAGATAAAAATTTTGTTAGTGAGTTTGCAAAGCACTACGCAAATATTCTTTCTACTGTCATCTCTGTTCATACGATCATTTTTTCCCCTTCTCTTCTCCATTCAAGAGAACATGACATCGAAAACGCAAATCAGGACACTCTGAAAGCATTTGCACCTAAGCTGTAGGTTTATTTATAGCACAATAAATGAACAAATTAAACCATATCACATATACACACACACACATACACACACACATACACACACACACACACACACACACACACACAAACCACCCACAAAGAAATCATAAATGAGATTCTTTTCAATATAAACAAAAAGCATTAATTTTCCCTCTAGAGAAATATGTGATCTCGCAATAGAACTCTATAATAAGAATTTGCACTCACTTTATTGGCTAATAGCTCTGGGCTAACCCAGGAACTCATTTACCTCTACTCTCAATATTACATTTTGGCTAAAATAATCTTTCTAGATGCTTAAAAGCTGAGTATCCATTTTCAGGAAGGGCTGTGATTAGCTCAGCCTTGAGTTTGTTGGGCAGGCGCCTCAGAGGCCAGTTATGGAAAACTTTACTTCCCTGGTAGAAGTCTGTTTCTCATTATCTCCAACACATCCTTCCTTAGCCGCTGCAGCCTGCAGTCTTTCAAATGGTATCCAGGCAGAGGGCCCAGTGAGAGCCAGGGGCAGATGAGGGAAGATAACACCATGCTCATCGCCTCCTCTGGCTCTGGGGCATTCTGTCTCATTATCTGGGAAAAGAAAGCTAGACACTGTCCTCTTCCTACAGTGTACAAAGCAGCAGATAATAAACTGGTGTCCTAAGCCTGGCTTGGGTTGAGGCTATGTCTCTAAGAAGATGGCATATACGGTCTTAAAGCCCCTGAAATGCAAGCGTGGCCAAACCACAAATGCTTGTAAACCAAACTTCTTACTTCTGTTTTCATTTACATGTAGAGTAGATGGAGGATGATGGATGAAGGATGGATGGATGGATGGATGGATGGATGGATGGATGGATGGATGGATGGATGGGTAGATGGATGGATAGATAATAAAATGTTCCTACTCCAGTATTCTAGCACAGGAATTTTTGAGAACAGCTAATGAATATCATATTTCAATGCTGGAGTGAGGCAATCACTAATATGACCCAGGGAAATGGATACAGACACCTGGAGCAGGTGGTGAGTCAGCAAGAGAGCAAGAGATAAACCTTGTATATTCTGTAGCCACTCTGCCTATAACTAACTAGTCTTCAGCTTAGTTCTTAGCGGGGCAGGCAATACTGTATGAAGTATCCCCCCTTCACTGCAGTCAGCTTGCTGTCCTAAAGCAATGCCTTACAAAGTATTCTACCTTTCCCCTGGATTCAGCTTGTTGTCCTAATTCCAAACCCATCCCACTAGCCCGGGGGATCCTGAGCAGAGCGTCCCACTAAGGGATAGGGACAATACCTAGCACACAGTAGGCACTTGAGGAGCACAGGCCAAGGTGACATTTGCCACTCTATTCCCTGATCTCTCATCTGAAATGTTAACTAATGGGCACTTTCACAATTACAGTGCGCATCATTACATCAGGCTTCGTGGTTTAGAAATTACTTTCATAGCTGGTGAGAGGGCTCAGGGGGTGAAACCCTGACGACCTGAGTTCGATCCCCAGGACCCACGTGGTTCCACAGGTTGTCCTCTAGCCCCCTCCACATGATGGCTGTGCCACACACATGACACACACACACAAAACAAGCAAATAAATAGTTAAGTAAATAAATATAAAAAAAATTCATGCATTTTCGTAACCATTCTTTCATGTTCTTCCCAATAACTGTTGGGTAACAGTGGCCTCGGGATTGTTGTTGCTGTCCCTGATGTAGTCATTTCAGGCATGGTAACCAGGAAATCGTGAAGCTAGTGAGTTACATAGATGCTTAAGTCTTCATGGAGCTGTTAAGCAACTTACACAAGAATGAGTAAACAATATTTATATGGGCAGGCAGTGGAGCATTGTAATTAAATTACACACCTTAAGTCCAGTATCTGGGCTCCATCACTTGCTTTGATGGCTAATTTTATGCATGAACTTGACTGGGTCACAGAGTGTCTATATATTTGATTAACTATTACTTCTGAGAGTGTGTGCAAGGATGTTTCCAGATAAATTCACATTGAATCAGCACAGTGACTAAAGAAGGTTCCCCTATCCAATATGGGTAGGCTCCATCCAATTGATTGAAGATCTGAATAGATTCTTCCCTCCAAAAAAAAGGGGCAAAACCAGAAAGAATTCTTCCTTTCTGCTTGGTGACTTTTAAACCAGCTCACAAGTATCAGCCTAGCCTGCCACGGTACCACTGGCTCAGTTTCCAGCTTGGTGGTGTAGCTCTCCTTATTTTAGTTAACCTCCTGTCTGTCTCTCTCCCTCTCCCTCTCCCCTCTCCCTCTCTCTCTCTGTATATGCATGTGTGTGTATGTCTCTCTCTCTCTCTCTCTCTCTCTCTCTCTCTCTCTCTCTCTCTCTCTCCCTCCCTCCCTCCCTCCTTCCCTCCCCTCTCTCTCACATACACACCCCACAAGACTGCCCTGAGAGTTCTGGAGAACTCAGAGCAGCACAAATCTTATTACCAAGAAGTAGAGTACTGTTACAACGGTACCAAAGAATGTGGGGGTGCTTCAATCAAAAAGGCTTCAAAACTTAGAAAGTTCTCAGCTTGTCTATATTGCAAAGAAAGAAAGGGAGAGGGAGAGGGGGAGGGGGAG